ACACTCTTCTAAATTATATAAAATATCAAAAAAATTGCATAAAACAATACAAAAATTACAAATTGAATCAGAGGAAGAGTCTTCAAATGAAGAATTAGAAGAATTAGAAGAGTCAGAAAAAGAAGAAGCAGAAAAGAAAAGTCAGAAAAGAAATCAGACGAATTAGAAGAATCAGATAAAAAATTAGAAGAATCAGAAGAAGAATCAGAAAAAGAATTAGAAGAAGAATCAGAAGAAGAATAAGAAGAATCAGAAGAAGAATTAGAAGAAGAATCAGAAAATAAATTACAAAAAGAATTCGAAGAAGAATTTCAAGAAGGATTTCAAGAAGAAACAGAAGAGCAAGAAAAGTTATTACAAAATCAATCAGATGATTCTTAAGAATTACTAAATGAATTACAAAAGAAACAAGAACATTCTACTAAAAGAGAATTAAAATCTTTGCAGGTAGAAAATTATCTAATTTTATATAATTTAAGTTAAATCTTTGATTATTATTAATTTTATTTGATTATTTTTCTGTTTTTAAAAATTAATTAATTAATTTATTACTTTCTATTTTAGAAAAAAAACATTTCTTTAATATCTTTTCGAATTCCAAATAAATCAAAAACTCTTATTGCAGCAAAGAAACAAGCAATATTTGAAGAACTTCTATTAGACTTAACTATAACTACACTTGATGAAATAGTTACAAATATTCAAAATATTAATGAAAATAATGAAACTTCAGAATCAATGGGAGAGACCTTAGCAAAATTATATCAAGTTGCTTGGTTCCAGGGGATTGAAGAAGAAAAAATTATTCAGAAAACAATTCATAGTTGGTATGACTATGCCAAGCAATTCAAAAATTGTGTAAATGAATTGGTCAATAATAGAATAAAAAATAAAACTGCACGAAACAAAATATATGATGAAATAAAGCTTTATGTATCTTCAAAGTGTATGAGAAATAACCTGTGCCAAAAAATATACTAAGCTCGCAAAATATATAAATTATTTAAAGGAATAGGTATTGAAAAAATTAAGTGAGTTAAAAGATATAGTGCAGATCAAATATCAAGTTTTAATATAAAAAAAATTCAATTACTTATTAGTCATATAAATGAGTTTTCATGACTTTTAATTTTTTATCTTTTTATTTTTATTTTTATTTTTTTATCTTTTTTTAACAGTTTATTTTTTGTTTTTATTTTATTTTATTTTATCTTTTTTTTTATTTAGTTTATTTTTTTTAACGTTTTATTTTTGTTTTTATTATTTTATTTTAACTTTTTTATTTTATTCAGTTTATTTTTTTATCATTTTATCTTTTATTTTTTTATTAAATAAATAAATTACATTTAATCATTAAGATATTTGACAATTTATCTAGCATATTATATGAAAAATAATTTATAAAGATTAGGTATATTATAATAAAAAAATAATTTGAGTAAATATTAAGTATAATCATTAAGAATTTTAACGATCATAATTTAGCAATTGCTGAATTATGATCATTAAGATTCTTAATGATTATATATGCTGAATTAAGAAAGAATTATGATCTTTAAGAATTTTAATGATAACAATTCAGCAATTGCTGAATTATGACAGAATTATAATTATTAGAATTCTTAATGATTATTATTCTGCAATTGCTGAATTATGATTGTTAAGATTCTTAATGATTATAATTTAGCATTTGCAGAATTATGATCGTTAAGATTTTTAACGATCATAATTTTGCTAATTGTAATCATTAAAATTCATAACGATCATAATTAATTTATTGCTAGCTAGATGTAGATTGTTATCGAAGTGGTATTAGCAAGTTCTACTAAAGATGTTATATAATAAAAATTATTAAATTTGATAGGCGTATATAATATTATTGGATGAATAAATACTTTATAAAATTATAAAATTATAAAATTTTAAATTTGCAAATATTAGCAAATTATAATCAATTTAAAATGTATTATTAATAAATTAGCAATTTTAAAACGCCACTTTCAAAATAAGATACTTCAAAAATTTTTAGTCTAAATGTAAAAAGATGAATAGTAAAAATCAAATTTTTTTGTATAAAAAGAATACTAATTAAATTGTAAGATACAAATGTTAACTTATAGGTGAAAACTATCCTTTTTCACAAAACATTGTTCATAATAAATTTTATCATTACCTGAAAATTTTTGATATTATACTTGTGTTTTAAAATAGTTTTTGGAACTTGTGATAGGGGTGTGTGATAATTTGATACCTATTATATAAAATTTAATAACAGTAGAATAATAATTAATCAGAATACTTTTATAGAATTTTTTAAAATACATTAATATAGTAGCAAAAGTTTTTTCAATAGCAGTTTGTAGCAAATACAAGACAATAATACAATTTTACTGCGATAGTTAAAACTAATTATTGCTATATTTTACATAATCTATTATCTTATTAGGATCTTCTTTAGTATAGATGGGCATATATAAATTATTACAAGATTATAATATATAAAACCTAACTAATTTGAGCCAATTTAAATTCTAACTCTAACCCTAACCCTAATAATTTATAAAATTACTTAAATTGGCTCAAATTAGTTAGATTTTATATATTATAATCTTGTAATAATTATATATGCCCACCTATACTAAAGATCAACCTCTTATTAATATCATCAGTAGTATAGTATGAAATAGAATCTACACTATAATTTACACATTGAATCTTATCTACCCCAATATTGCTAAATAATTTAAAAATAACCCACACTTTATGCGTTCTCTGTCGCAAGTTCTCCTGTGTGATATCTGAAATTAATGGAAATATTTCATCATATAATTCAGTTTGTGCAACATTATCTTCATAACCATCTTCAATAAGTTGACCTACTCTATCTTCAAATACTTCAGCATAATTATACCAATTTTGAATTTCCTTTTGCTTAATTCGTTGAAGTTTCTTTTCACTTCTATAAGCTGTTTGGAATAATTGAGCTAATTTTTTTTCTATAAAATCTTCAGCACTCTCATTTACAATATTTACAGACATATCTATATCATCAGATGAAGCTGCTGTAGTTATTTTTTGAATGAATTCAGCAATTAGTATCTTTTTATTAGAAATTTTAGCAGATACTGGATAGTTTGGCAACTGCTTTAAAGATCCTTGATACTAAAAAAAAATTTTATTAACATTAATAAATATAATTTTTTTAGATCCACCTTACTTTACAATCATTTCACAAACAACTCACTTAGCCTACATCATACAAAGTAACAATTTACTAATAATATATATCTGTAGCTAATAAAATGCTAATCCTAACCTTATGTAATGTCAGCTAAGTAAATTTTTGGTTAATGATTGTCAGTAAAGCAAGCAGTATTGTAAATATTTTACCTTTTGTGATTCAGATTCCAAAGAAACTAAATTAATCTCTTCTTGAGATTCAGATTCCAAAGAGACTAAATTAATCTCTTCTTGAGATTATGTCACAGATTCAAAAGAGGGAGGTTGTTCTGGAGAGGGAGAATTTGTTGAAGATGTCAAAATTGTTTCTTCACTATCAGTAAGTTGGAAGTCTTGTTCATCATTTCTTTCATTGGATGCTTTTCGGGATCTTTTTGTTTGGAAATTTCTTGAATTAATGTTTGATTATAATAAAATTTATTTAGTATCTTTTATAAGTTTAACCATATATAGTATAATTAATTAAATAAAATTTTCTTACTTTTGGTGTTTTGATATATTTCTTTTATTTCTTTTTGGAGCTAATTTGTGAATTTCTTCATTAGATCCTTCTAATTCTAAAGAGCCTATAAATTATAATAATTTAAAGATTTTTTGAGTTAAATTATAATAATATTTGTTGGTTTCTTCTATTTATAAGCACTTAAAATTATTTTTTTAAGTAATAATATAATTACTTGCAGTATCTTGTGATAACTTCATTAACGCTCTTGCAGCTGATTCTACATTTTCATCTATACTGATTTCTTCATCAATTGCTTCCTCTGATTCAATTTGTAATTTTTGTATTGTTTTATGCAATTTTTTTGATATTTTATATAATTTAGAAGAGTGT